CACACACACACACACACACACACACACACACACACACACACACACACACGGACAAAAGGACAATAATAAAATGTATAAATGCATGTTTCATTAAAAATAGTTGCTATATACAAATTGTCGCTGAGTTGTTTTAAGGTTGTGTTGCTAAATAAGGTGTCAGTCTGATACCATGGTGATAAAAAAATCATGCCATGGCAATAATAGACGCTATAGCAACATGTTCTATTTGGCATCAGATTTGTTCTAATTATAATTATGTTCAGTCCCACCTCTATTTTTTCGTTTCGTTACTCCTTTGTTCTCTTGCTGCAGATTTAGACACTTAACTAGAAAATCAATAAAATCTGTCCTTGGAAACAAAACAGAGCTGAGAATGCACAGCAGTATGTCAGCACATCACATATATGATATGAAACGTTTTAAAGATTAATAGGATAATATAGCACTTATACGCACTACAAGCTCTGGCAACCGTGTGGGATTGATTACTCCATCTGTACTGCAAGTTCATCCGTTATTTAGTACATTTTATTTGGTAGTTCATCTACTGATGACTTTAGGTGTAACAGTCTTTATGGAGTTTACTGAAACTTTTACTGTAAATAGAAACATCAGATTTACTGAGAACACGGAACTAAATTAAATCATTTCTGCCTTTGCTTTCATCTTACCAAAACAATTATTTTACACCAATACACAACCTTACGAATAAAGTCTTTCTTATTTATCTAATATCAAGGTTTGCAGATGCATTCCTACAGTGTAGTATACATCTAGATGTACAACAGAAATCAACATAAAAAGCTGGTTCTGTGAAAAATGTATATTTTATCAACATTTTGTACGGCATGGTATAACTTGTCATGGTTCAAATAAATGCGGCAATGATTTTCACTTTCTGTTAGAACAATCATAACTGCAACTTATAGAACCAGACTAACACTGAGCATCTACATGATGTGTCATGATGTAATAGATCATGTTGTATCATGTTAATTGATTGGAATGACCATTGTGTGTTCAGTTCATGGATTGTGCTTAGTGCCATCAAATAAAAACCTTATACTTCATCAATAAACCAAACATGGTAAGCCCCACAATATCTGATCATGTCCTTTGAAAAAAAAGATAGTTTACAGTAGTGTCAAAAGTCAAAAAAGGGAAATAAAGTGAAATTAAAAACGAAAACAGCTTTTTACATAAAACTACTGTGTGTGCTCTTCTTAGTTTGAGACGTATGGATAGCTCTTAACTAAGGCAAACAATTTAACCACTCATTTTGACAAGTAAAATATAGAGCGTCCACATAAAATCCCACTCAAATTAATCAAGTAATCTACGAATCATTGACGCAAAACATCAGCCTATAAAAAACAGCTTTGTGTAAAGACATTTTATAGTCATTATATTTATATTTGTTAAAACTAGTAAGCCTGGCACTGGTGTGTTTGTTTATAAAGCATACAAACAGAACTCACCTGTGTGGTAGAACTTCCCTGAGAAGCCCAGGTTGAAGGTGAAGTTGGAGATTTGAGAACGCAGCTGTTTCTGAGTATCAAGGAGAGCCTGTAGACAGACAGACAGAGATACACAGATAGAGAAATAGATAGATACATTAAATTGATATTAATGACAGAATCACATTTAACCCCACAGACTCCAGTAGTTCAGGTTCAGGTGGCAGTCACTAACATACAGTGTATTTTTTTGTGTTCTGTTTTCTATGTGTACTTAGTGGTCCAGTGGCCGTGCCTGTCCTTAAAGTTACCTAAGTCCCTGGTTTCAATACTTGAATCAGGAATTTCTCCACTTATTTAATGACTTCATTAGTTTACTGGCCTTTAAACAAAGACTCTGTAATGAGTGTTAACTAAAGAGAGTTGCACATTCACACACAGTCACACACACCGACAGTAATGCGAGTTAATGAAGGTCAGTGCATTAGTAGCCTCTGGAGGGTGGACTAATAACCCGCGCACACACTCCTCCCCTCACATCATTCTCTCCATCCATCCCTAACACTACCAAGTGGAATCATGCCCCCCCTTCTCTCTCTCTCACACTCCTCTGCTGCTGCCTCTTTTTCTGATTCTCCCTCTATTCTTCCATCTCTCCGCTTCTGAGAACCTGCAGTCGCCTCTGACCCCCCCCCCCCCCCCCCCCCCCCCCCCC